GATAACAAGACTGTTGGTCCCGCAAGGGTCTACAAGAGTTTTATAGAAACAGTTTCTAGAAGGGGGGATGAATACAAACACAGTAAATTTTTCAAATTTAAAATATATATTGATAAAGAAAGATCAACACAGATTTTACAAGATTGTATGCAGAAATAGATAAGGTAAAGATAATGTATCTAAAATTATCTAAGTTTACACACTAATGATCTTAGCGAAAAGAAAATATTTGTTGTTAAGACTAAGAAGGAAATGAGTTCTTTCTGGGTAAGAACTTTTTAGAATACTTGAAAATGGATTCTAACTTGCTTTGAAGATAAGCGTAAGTGTTCTTAAATGTGTGTGTGTGTGTTCTTTCATGTATGCATGTAAGGATTAAGGTATTTCAGCAAGGAGATAGCACACATCTATTTATACTCATTGTATTAAATGCACATTTAATGCAATGTAGTAGGGTTTGAACACGCGTCAAGCTTTTATAGAAAGACTTGTCCTTTGCTATAGTGAATAGTATAAAAGACTATTCATGAGCAGACATCCTTTCATGGAGTTGGTGGGCAATAGAGTCAACTAATCGACTCCGTACCGTACTATACTCCAGCAAGGGTATGGGTTTGTCCTTTGTGTGTGGAAGGACAAGATGAAAGCAATCTTGCACAACAAGCTTCTTTTGATCGCTGAATGCTGGAATAATCCTGAAGGTCTCTTCAGCATTCGCTGAAGCTTGGGCAGTCTTCACACATATGTTGACCAAGTTGTAATCACTGAATGCCGCTTCAGATCACGAACGCGCTAGTATCTAATCTTCAGTTTCAGTCTTCGACTTTTGCTGAAGGTTATTTGGTCTGAGTTTTGTCTTCTTGAAGTATCATTGTCGCTGATGGATTTACAATACATGTCTCAATGATCACTGAACAAACTCAGTGATGATCGCTGGAACTGAAAGACAGAAACATAATACTTCGTAAAAAGGTAAAAGGGATTATCATCAGATCAATGAGAGAGAGGATCAACAAAACATCTCATGAAATCCTGCTTGGCAAGGCACCATTATACGACCATTTTCGGGTCTTCGTATGCCTTGCATATGCACATGATAGCTTGTGCATGTTGGACAAGCTTGGAGAAAAGAGAAGACTATATGTGTATTTAGGATACCCAATGGGAGAAAAAGGATATAAGCTTTATGATCTGAAGAACGAAAAGATATACACCAATCGTAACATTACTTATCGAAAATATGTTTCCATTTGGTGACAACTATGAGGGCCATAAAACCATTGAGAATGAATACTTAGAAGATTCATTACCCACGGTCCAGTGAACCTATGACGATGCTTGAATAGACCAGGCTCAACAAAATACAGATGCTGAATGGGAAGATCCAAATAGCCCACAACGACCACATACTCAATGCATCAGGCCGAACTAGACACGAATGTTGAGCCGAACACCATAGAACTGGCCTCCTAGGAGAATAATGAAGAGGAAACCTCACAACAAGAAGTAATGGGAATATGGCAAAGCACTTGAGCAAAAACAAGGCTAGAACATCTGGAAGAATTCATCACTGACTTGCCAACCTCGCTTAAACATGCACAACCCATACCCACCTCAAGTTCTTCCATGGTACATCCTCTTTCTCAATATGTATCGTTTCAAAAACTCATCGTGCATTCTTAACGGCCATCATGTCCTAAGATGAGCCCAAAAACTTCTCACAAGCAGCAAAGGATCCAAAGTGGCATGAAGCTATGAGTAAAGAGATCCAAGCTCTTGAAAAAAAATGAGACTTGGATCCTAACAAAACTCCCTCCCAAAAAGAAGACAATAAAATCAAAGTGAGTTTATAAGATCAAATATAAACCAAAAAGAAGAAGTGGAACAATACAAGGCACGTTTAGTACAAAAAACTATACCCAAATTGAAGGCATAAATTTTCACAAAACCTTTGCCCCGGTAGCAAAGTTGGTCACAGTTCGATGGACATTAGTGATTACCTCCAAGAAGCAATGGGAGGTGCTCAATTGGACGTAAACAATGCATTCCTATATGGCAACCTCAAGGTTCACTTACATACACGTTTTGCATCAAAGATTTGGATCTACTTAAATATTTTCTAGGAATCGAAGTTGATCGGTCCATTGAAGGATTTGTGATTAGTCGACGAAAATATACAATGGACATATTCGAAGACTGTAGAGTCCAAGAAGTCATCCCAGTGCTTTTCCAATGGAACAAAATCTTTGTTTACAAAAGGACGATGATAGCCCTGAAGTTGATGTTTCTCAATATCGACGCTTAGTAGGAAAGTTACTCTATCTCTTTGTCAGTCGACCGACATAGCTTACTTGGTGAACCAATTTAGTTAGTTTTTAAGTAATCCACGACACACTCATATGGATGATGTAGTTCGTGTTCTTCGGTACTTAAAAACCATAGCGAGACAAGGTTCATTTTTACCCTCGACTAGAAACTTTGAGTTTGTGGCTTACTATTTATTAGTCTCGGTGGTTCATCAATCTCGTGGAGAACAAAGAAACAAAATATTGTGTCACGCTCATATGTTGAAGTCGAATATAGAGCTGTCGTAACCACCGTTTGTAAAGTTTTATCGCTGCGATGGCTCCTTTAAGATCTTGATGCTGTGTAGACAAGTGCGACTCCTTTGATGTGTGACAATGAAGCAACACGTCACATTGCTGTAAACCCCGTCTATCACGAAGCAGAAAACATGTTGAAATGAATTGTTATTTGTCTGTGAACGATTAAACAATGGAGAAATGAAACCGTGTGCCCATTCATTGTGCATTCCAACTGGCAGCTTTTTACCAAGACTCTTAGGTCTGAACGATTTCAATTCCTACATGGCAAGTTGGGTCTTCGTGATCTTCATAGTCTAACTTGAAGGGGAGTGTTGAGAATTATGCATATCTCCTACCCACCGTCCTTCCTATTTGTTAATTCTTAATTATCAGTTTTCATATAGGCCATTATCTTTTCTTATTTATAGGCTTTTTATTTGTTTTGTTTCTATATGAACTCCGAATGCACGCACCAAGTTACATCGATCAATGAGATATCTTTACCTAAAATTTGATATTTGTGGTGTTTTTGCAACCATTTTTTATAGAATGCATCTCAAGTCTACAGCTTTCTCATCTATTTACGGATATCTCATATAAACACGATATGGGAAATATTTTCACCATATTTTCTTTTTTTCCCCAAATAATCTTAAATTTCTTTGGTTGCGAAGATTCACCATCATTTTCCTTGCATAGAGAAATCAAGAAACATATCATGTGTTTTAACCAAGTACCAGACATCATATCAATTCAAATAATGAAGCAAACATATTCCATACCTAGACAATCGGACCCCGCAAACATATTATGTACCTACACAATCGGACCCTGAAGAAACATAACACACCTACAAGACATTGCACTCATTACTACATTACAATCAAGAAATCAAATTTCTCCATGATTTTACAAAATTGTTTTGAACTGTTTGTTGCATCGAAGATTTGTCTTGCAGAGTGTTTTGTGATTTAAAACTTAGTTTTAGGCTGATTTGGTGATTTGAAGGTGCATAATCATATGTTTTGTTTGTTAATTAGTTAAGGTAATAACATATTTCTTTATGATCATATATTTTGCTTCTAACTAGGTCTACATCATAAAAGCCATTCAACAAATTCTACATTCGTGAGATGGTTTGTTATTTAGATCAACACGATCTTCGGAACCCCCATTTCCATAAATTACCCTTTCAAGAGATGGTAAAATGTTTGAATATACAATCATGGGACATATAAAATATTTATATTTGTAAATACATTAGATTATGAGTATGGGTTAAATAGAATACTTAAAACTAAACTCATTCAATAATTGCTACATTCTACAAAAAAAAGAGTATGATGTCATCTTCTAGAGTGTCCCTCCCTCCCATACCGGTCCATAACCATCATGAGACAAGTAAATTATCTATCCATGGTGAAGGCGAGTGGTGCATAGGGTCGAACCCTGAAAATTCCATTCATTCTGCTGCAAGACAATTGCTATAGTTCAAGCATGGATAAGGCTGGAAGAACAAAGCTTACCTTTTAAATTTACAGTTAACTGAATGTATTTTGTTTGTTACCATTATAATGTATCTAACTCAAAGCTTAAAAATACCATTTCATCAACAACTACTCAATCAAATAATTATCTAGAAATTTGTCAAGTGATTTTGAACATAGCTTCTAGAAAGAACTACTCAAAGCAGGGTTATTTGTATATCATTATTAACACATCAATAACAAGAGTAGCAATAGATGGTATCTAGCAAGCAACGTATAACAAGTAAAAAATAAGATGATATATGGAGTTTGTTGACGCAACGATATAAGCAAAAAATGAAAAGAAAGAAAGAAGCACGAGTCTTTGAAGGAAAAGTTTCGAGACCACATACAAGTAAAAGAATTGAAAGAGAAGTAGTTGATGACGACACCTTGAGTTTGTTGAGAAAACTACAGGACAACAAGAATGACAGGATGCCAAGAATGATGGGAAACCATGATGATAAACAACATCAAGTAAGATGTTTTGTATAGTCATTAGTCATCACTTAGTAAAGAGCCCTTTCAAAATTTTCTATCTAAAAAGCTTATTCAATGGGCACATCTGAGGCAATTTTAGTAACATCTATCACTCAACTTGTCCATCATAGTATAAAAAATTTACCATTTAATGGTGCCATTGTGATTCGGGTGGTTGTTGCAAATACGAGAGACGATTTATATTATATATAAAAACTATTTTAAATCATTATTGAAAAAAAGAATCTGAAATGGAAGTGTAGCAAAACTAGATCCATCTACTTTCACCATGTGTGGAATAATTAAAATATGACAATCACACCAGATTTGTCCCCACCTCCTTGCAGCCATGGCTACCTACCCCAAGCTCAATTTGACCCTTCTCATCTCACCAACTCTTTCCTGTATATAATTCAAGTTCTTTGCTCGTTCACAAACACACCAAATCTTGTAGCAACAATGGCACTTTCACAATCCTCCACTTTGTCTTCCAAATCGCTCTTCCAAACCTACCCTTCCCACCACCAATCTCACCAACCAATTGGTATATCTCTTCTTCCAACCACCAACTCCCACCGCAAACCAAAACCCATCTCCGCCGTCCACGCAGCAGAGCCAGCCAAGAACCTGACCAAAACCCCACCTCCACCGCCACCGCCATTGAAATGGACCATTGACAGCTGGAAGTCAAAGAAGGCTTTGCAGCTTCCGGAATACCCAAATGAAGCGAATCTCGCCGCTGTTCTTAAAACCCTTGAAGATTTCCCTCCGATTGTGTTCGCCGGAGAGGCCAGGCACTTGGAGGAGCGTCTCGCCGATGCCGCCGTGGGCAAGGCGTTCTTGTTGCAAGGAGGGGATTGCGCCGAGAGTTTTAAGGAGTTCAGTGCTAATAATATTAGGGATACTTTCAGGCTTCTTCTACAGATGAGTGTTGTTTTGATGTTTGGTGGGCAGATGCCAATCATCAAGGTAAATTCTTAATCCATATGCTTTCGAATCAACTATGATTTTTGCTGTTCATTTTGTTCCTTAACATATATTCGTTCACTGATTTCGTTTTGTTTGTTTGTGGGATTCCATATAAATTCTAGTTTATTGCTCTTGAGAGATGCACTTGTTCCTTTTGGATTTATATGTTCTTACTCATTTAGAAATTCTAATATAATACTTCAAAATTTAGGGCAAAATGCAATAAGGTTTGTTTTACTTGATGCTGATTTTAACATTTGATGATGGTCTAGTTCAAAATAGGAAATAGAGTTTACATTACATAGGAATTAAACCAAAATTTTGTTGCATTTGGATGGATTTTACCTTAAAATTAACCCAAACATGTTTAGTTTTAGTAGATCCTACATGTTTTGGTTTGAAACTTTTGTTAATGGTTTAATGTTTGATGTAATTATCGACCTTTCTGTTCAACTAATACAATAATTCTTTATTTTAAAGTTTGAAAATTTATTTATTTGACCATTCAACTTAAATATAAATGACCTTGTTGTATATGATAAATTACTTAGCTTGCCTGTAGCTTTCGGACCTATCTTATTCACTCGAGAAGAAAGTCGCTATCCTTGGTTCATTGTCTCTACATTTAGGTCCATACCCCTTTACCTACCCCGTTGTGACAAATTTGTTGTATGTTCCGTGAAGTGTAGGAAATGGTTATGTTTTCGCAAAACTGAACTCAGTTTGCAAGATTTTGTGAATGATAGTTCTCAATTGTGAAGTTGATTTTGCTGTTTTTGTGGTCTACAAAGATGGTTTTTGATAAACAAGAAAAAAACACATGCTGCCTATTTGACTTTGCTGAGTTCGAGATTTCTATACCAAATAAAAACAAAAAAATTTAATCTCTTTTATGTTGTTGCTTGAAGAAAAAAACAGATTTTTGGAATGTGTTTTGGTTTCACTATCGAACAAAAATTGCAATATTATTTCTATTTTGAAGATTTAAACATAAGACAGAAATTGTAAGTGTTTCAAAACAGGGCCTAATTTACCTTTTATGTGGAGAACCATGTAAAGTTTTTTGAGTGTATAATATTTATGTACGGCAAATGCAACAAATAAACTCATACACCGTCTTGGTCTTTGGTTAGCCTAAAGGACCAGATACCATTAGTCCAAAGGCCCTTTGGTTCAATACCATAGTTTCTTGATCATAATGTTATGATTCAGTTAATATAATCTTTGTGGGATTCGGTTATATAGGTAGGAAGAATGGCTGGCCAGTTTGCCAAGCCGCGATCGGATGCATATGAGGAGAAGGATGGGGTGAAGCTGCCAAGTTACAAAGGAGATAACATCAACGGTGATGCTTTTACCGAGAAGTCAAGAATTCCAGATCCTGATAGAATGATAAGAGCTTATTGCCAAGCTGCAGCCACTCTTAACCTTCTTAGGGCATTTGCCACTGGAGGTTATGCGGCAATGCAAAGAGTCACTCAATGGAATCTTGATTTTGTTGCTAACAGCGAGCAGGGAGACAGGTATATATGCAACGGGATAGTAAATCGCTTTCTATTATTTTTAATCTGTTTGAAAATGATTTTAATCATCGTTTGGCATTGAATTTTTGTGCTACCTCATTTACAACTTGACTTTTGAGATTAACCGGACTAAATTTCAGCTTTAATATAGCAAAAATACACTTATGTTGAACAAAATCCACATTAGGTTTTGGGTGCTCAACTTTTTCTACCATTGAACTTGGATTTTCGAGCAGGATATCTTGGGTTTGCTTGGCTTGATTTGGTTTGGCAAGGATGAGCGATATTCGATAAATCCAAGAAACGCAATTGCAAAGATGACCATCTTATACGGCACTTTTTGCCCAAAATGGCTCATTCTTGCAAAGATATTTTCTTTGGAATTTTCACAAGAATGATGGTTTGCTTACTAAACCAAGTACTCTCAAGTTTCTTGACTTGAGCAGTTCACTTGACCTCAGAAGCCAAAATCATACCCTTTCACTTTGGTAAATGGGGAGTAATTGCAATATGTAGCTATAATTCATCACAATTCGATGTAATCTATTCTATCTTGTTTCTTTTGATATATTTATGTTTTTATTTGGGATTATGGTGCAATAGGTACCAGGAGCTAGCTCACCGTGTTGATGAGGCCTTGGGATTTATGTCTGCTGCTGGACTCACGATCGACCACCCTATTATGGCAACGACTGATTTCTGGACATCTCATGAATGCTTGCTCTTACCTTATGAACAATCATTGACTAGGCTTGATACAACTTCTGGCCTTTACTATGATTGCTCGGCTCACATGGTTTGGGTCGGGGAACGTACCCGCCAGCTGGATGGCGCCCATGTTGAGTTTTTGAGAGGTGTCGCTAATCCTCTTGGCATCAAGGTATCATCAAAACACCAACTTTAGTTTAATCTCATACCAGCAATTATTTTATTTCTTTTAAAGTGGAATCTGCAACCACTAATCCACGTGGTCTAGGCCCACTACTACACAGTTCTAGGACTGGCAGAGCCCTTCTTATGGGAAGTTGGTGTGGCTGCAAAGGTTTTTGGACCCAATGGGAATCGAACTAACTTCCCTTCAAAAGCAAAATAGAACAATTTGCTGAGAATGGAGGGAGTATTTCGGTTCTTATTTTTATAAAGAAAACAGCAGCGGCTCCTGACTGTGAATGCTTGCATTTATTGTAGAAATATTTTTGTGTACAAGTAGCACAAAACTTATACTTATCACATGCAGCTTTTGTCCAACTGTTAGAACCAAATGTTTCTCTCAAAATCATGTTTTCTAAAACTTATTACAATCTGGGGGCCTTTAAGGGAAAAGCCTCTCTACCCCTTGTAGTATCCGTGTAGGACCGGCTGGGTTTGTTTGGTTTGGTTTGGTTTGTACTTGAGTGTGAAAGTGTTTTTGCAGGTGAGCCAGAAGATGGATCCAAAGGAGCTAGTTAAGCTCGTTGACATACTGAACCCCAATAACAAGCCTGGAAGGATCACAGTGATTGTAAGAATGGGAGCGGAGAATATGCGAGTGAAGCTTTCCCCTTTGATAAAGGCAGTACGACAAGCAGGGCAGGTTGTGACATGGGTTTGTGATCCAATGCATGGAAACACTATAAAGGCACCATCTGGCCTTAAAACTCGCCCTTTCGATTCCATATTGGTATGAATTCTCATCGACTTCCACTGGATTTAGTTCAACAATTCTAGTCTCAATGGCCTCGTGTCAATATCTTGTTTTTGTGGAATGATCTCCTTTATAGCGTCTTTTTAAATAGTATCTTCAATTAACACCCGTTTCTCTCTCTGTAGGTTTAGTTTGGTTCATTGGTTAGACCGATTTACTGTTTGATATATGAGGGGTAAAGTTGGTATAGGAATCTGATAAGGAAGCATCCAATGGCATATACTATGTACCTGATAGGATATATATTTAAACCACATTCCCTGAATCTAGTTTCAAATCTTTGTTGCTTTCTGTCAAAATGTGGCTGAAAAGTCAATTGACAATGATATCCTGTCCCAGTAGTGTTGGTAGTTGGTAGTTGGCCAAGCACCTAGTAAAATTGACTATAATATCCTCATTTGATTTAAAACGAACCCAGTATATCTCATGCAGAGATAGGGTTTTAGGGTATGTATCCCAAGGGGTAGAGAGATTGTTTCCATGAAGACCGTCGAGCTGTTCTTTTTCGTTATAGATCTTGAAATGGTTATTACACTAAACAGAAAACCAAATTTTATGAAATTTAAATTTCAAAATAGAGATTTGAATTTCCAAAATAAAAAAAGCGGGTCATGGACCGTTATTCCTTGGTGGCCAAGTGGTTGGCCGATTGTTGTGTGCCCCACTCGATGGCTGCTGCCGGGGAAGTCAAAACAGAAAAGTAAGAAGGGAGCCATCCATGAGGTATTTTTAGATAAGTTTCAACTCTACTCGATGGTCTGACTGTTTTGGTATTTTTGTGAAAACAGGCGGAGGTGCGAGCTTTCTTTGATGTTCACGAGCAAGAAGGGAGCCATCCGGGAGGAATTCATCTGGAGATGACGGGACAGAATGTGACAGAGTGCGTTGGTGGATCTCGAACCGTGACTTTTGATGACCTGAGCTCACGCTACCACACACATTGTGACCCGAGGCTGAACGCTTCTCAGTCCCTAGAGCTGTCGTTCATCATAGCGGAACGGCTGAGGAAGAGAAGAATGGGGTCTCAAAACTCCTTGTCTTTGCAATTTTAGATGAAATTTTGGTGTTCTGTTCAAGTTTCTGGGATTTTAAAAATAAGTAATGAATTATGAGTTTGGTTTCAATAAATTGGTAGGTAGCCTTTTCTTTTTAAGTATCGGTTTACAATTGCAAGTGTGGAGATGATCTTCATTTGCTGTAGAATTTGGAAATGGGTTGGGATTGGGAGTTTGATTCAGTCAATGTGGAACTGCATGATTAATTGTTGGGTAATTGTTCTAAATGGAGTAATATTGTGAGTATCATAAAAAAAAATGTTTGGCAAATGTTTTGAATGAACAAATAATAAGATTCTGGGATGTTTCAAAGTTACTTCCTTTTAACCAAATTTCAATTCTTTTGTTTGGTTTACATATTGAAAATGTACGATTCCACACCATTCTACCATATTTTCCAAATCCTTTAACAATTCCATTCCAATTGTATCAAACTAAATGCATGGTTACATTCCTTCAAAGTCTAATCCCGTTAATAGACTTTAATTCTATCAGATTCCATTCTACGAACCAAACACCCTTTTAAATTTTTTTAAATTGATAGTAATAAGGTTATGGTTTGTGGGAGTGGGTTCATTTAAGAAATCTATTAAACTACAAAAAATTGTCCTTATCGTATGTTAAAAAACATGAAATCGGTCCTCAAATGGAAACAACGCATAGATATGATCATCTGATTATGTATGTTGATGTGAAACAAGTCTTTAGTCCAAACTATGTTACTTACAAGTCTCTAAAGCTTACATAGAACACATATTTGTTATGGGGGTTGGAGTGGGGAGGAAGAACTGAGAGATTAAAGGGTTGTTAATATAGTTTTATTAAATGCATTAATCAAAAATGCCATCTTCAAATCCAAGTTTGTCCATGAAGTGCATCCGTATGGTTCCTTGGTAATAAAAACTACATACGTAAATGTGGTTCCATAAATGGTGCAAGTATACACCACTATGGAGTTCGCTTTCAACTAATAAAATGGTAAAAATACGTGATCGTATCCACAGGGATCGGACTTCAAAGTTTCGAGTAGTAAACCGAGAATACAATGATTTCAATTAGAGAAGAAGAAAATATATTTGAGCAAGTTTGGTGATTTTAACAACAAAATATAAACAAGAAACTAAAAATGGGCATGGGTGTAAATTTCCCTTAAAACATATGTAGTAACAAAATGATCACATAAACATGTATAAAAACCACGATATCTCGAAAATGAATCTTTATAGACCGTGCCAAAAAATGCACACAAAGTGCCCATTGTTACTGATTCTTAATGTTGCCAAGTTATCTAAGTTGATGAAATATCAAATTCGATTAGTATGAATATTTATACCTAAAAATCTTTGTGATATAAAGCTCGATCAAAGTTTGAACTTTAGTAAATCATACAAAACGGTGTTTCTACGTGATTATCAAAGATTTTTTCAAATCTTTGTGCATCATTTAAGCTTGTATTTCAAATTTGCTCATCTCTTGGTCTAAAATCTAATATTAATACTTCAAAGTGATCGGTTATTTGAATTGAGTTTAAGTCCCGACTCAAGTAACCAAACTTAAAATTAGCAATGATGACAACACCAAAGTATTGCCTACTAGTCTTAAGTTTGACTCACACCAACACCCAATGGGTGCTTAGCTAATAAGTAAAGTAAAGAACATAGTAGAAGAAGAGAAATATTTTAAAGCTAATTGCATTGAAAATAAAATACAAATTGTGCCCACAATGGGCAGCAATTGAAAATTAAAGACTTGAAAATTAAATTACAACTACAACTACAAAATGTAAGGACAAGGGTTGAACTTCTAAATTGTTAGAGCTCTTCTCTAATGCTTTTTCACCAAGGCCTCTTATTTATAGGGAGGGAAAAGTGTTCGTCTTTAGCCCAAAGAATGAAAACATTTTTTAATCTCTAAAGACAAAAATGATCACAATTCAACTCATCTCTTGAAATCTTCATATCTTTTGATATCTCCATATCTTGAGAAATCATCATATAACACTATTCATCTTTAGAACCACCCTTCAAGTTTGTCCTTCAATATTTACCCTAATGCAGTTGAAGATAAGCACAAGATTACATGCAAAAATGATATTTTCAGTCGTTCTCAAATTAATCTCTCTCCCCACAATGAGCATATATGTAGTCCAACATTTAACAAAAATGATGTGTATAATAATAAAACATCCTCAACAGCTCCAAATAAATATAAAATGATAAAAAGAGAAAGCATAACTAAAACGGAAGAAAAATTGGCACAAAATGATGCGTAAATGCTCAAAATGAGAGTTATCACATCCTCAAACTTAATTTGTTACTTGACCTCAAGTAACTAAAAGGACAAAATTAAAAATAAATGAAGATAAACACACAAGAAGACTAAGTATCACACATAGAATCTTGAATATTACGATACAATTAAAGTAAATGACTTTATAAAACTTTCTAATATTTAGAACAATTTTGGTCCTAACAATCCCCCCCCCCCCCCCCCCCCAGCAAGCATCTCCTAAGCCTTAAAGTTTTATAAAACAAGCATCTATGAAACCTTCAGGTCTTCTCCCCTCTGCTTTCTTTTAGAAAACTTTGGTGTACCTGGATTTAATGAAATCTTCAAGCTCCCCCTTCCTCTGAATAAAGTTCTAACTCTTCAACTTCAACTTTATAATAAGATTCAATGTGAATTCAGCACAACTAATTGCACAACGTACAACTTTAACTGCAGAGAACTCAACGCAACCTTGAATCTCATAATTATTGTTGGCCCACAAGCAACTAATTCATCCAACAATGGGATAGATAATGTTTAAGTTACATGTCATTTCAGTGCAAACCATCTTATGAGAAGGGATTTATTTTTGTGAACCACGAGTTGAATAAGCATTCAGCTCAAGAACTTGAACCATTAAGCTCACAAAATGGGGTATCAAAATTAGCTTGAATTACCAAAGCAAACACCTTTGACATTAAAATTCGGAGAGAAAGTATCAACATTAAGAACATGTCTTCATGAACAGCAAGTCAACCAACAAAAATAAGTCAATTTCCTTCAAACTTTTAGCAGACTGAATAATCAAACTCAGATTCAAAATTCCAGACAGAAGAATGATTATTGGCACTTAGAACTCTAGATCACAACCATATCTCCAGAGCAATGATTGTAGACACTCAAACTTCTAATTGATCAGGTTAGACGAATGATTGAGAACACTCAAAGATCTGATAACTCCAAAACCTCCAGAACATTGATTGTTGACATTCAAAACCTTTGGTTGTTCAGGTCAAATGAAATGAGTGAAAGCACTCAGCGGTCTAGCCTCCTGTAGAAAAACTCCAGATTAATGATTGCAAATACTCAAACTCTGACCAGTCCAATCAAATACAGAAATGAATCACCCAGTTCTAAAATCCTTTCAAATCAGGCTTTAATCAATAACTTCAATTTGATTGACCAAAAAAATCAAACTTTGAATTTGAAAATTCAATGTTAAAAAGATGTTGTTGATGCTTCTTAGGACAAAACAATGATAAAATGATCACCTCAATCATTAAGTTGGTGAACTTGGGCAAAGAATTCATTAAACACACAGATTAAGCACATAGAGTCATTTGAATAGAGTACTCAAGAGATGGGCGATGAAAATTGTTGTTCCAGTTTAATCAATCGATTAACACAATTCAATTCAAGAACACAAGATTATCTATGGCAGAATCAAGAAATGTAGATATAGAGTTTCTTTCTTCAAATGATTTGTATTAGCTTCAAAGGATTACAATTACAGAAATGAACGTACTACTAAAATTACAAGACATACTAGACTATTTATACTAAGGAAATTAAAAAGAAGAATAACAAGCTTCAATACAATTACAATACACAAATATTGAACCCAACATTCTCCCCCTTTGGATTCAAGCTCTGGAAATAGAGAATCTTGATCTTCTGAATCCAAGGTGAGTTTCCAATCTTCTGATGGCATTCCGATATTCTATCTTCTGGTCAAATAACTACAAAGATTTAAGTAACAAGAACCTTTCTCTCAAATTCAACTTGTCAGCCCCTGAAGCTTTGTCATCATGTACCTTCTTTGATTCTAATTGTTTTCTGATCAGCTTGATAATTCCATCACTGTACAAGCTCACAGAATCTTAGAAACCTTTTAGCTCCCTCAGAATTCTTATATACCACTTTGTACTCCGGCTCTTCAAGAATCATGAACGGAGGATAACCATCAACGTCTTCAAGTTCTTGATTAGGCATCTTCATATTAAATTTCTTTTGGTTGCTCTCATAGCCCATTTGAACATATATCATCAAAGACAATTTACTTTGACATTTCAAAAATATTTTGATGGCCTCTAAAGCTCTAACGACTCGTTCCAATCTGACAGTACGGTTTCAAAATTCATGGTACATAAACTCCAAGTCTTCTAGGTACAAGTTGGGAAAATCAGTTTCACTGAAGTACCATTCTTTACCATCTTGTCTTAGAACATAAAAGACAAGATACCATACTCTTATCAATTTTCTGGCTTCCACCTTTTTTATCGCAACAATCCGGTGCTTTGTTCTCACAAAATGAATAGGTTGACTTTTAGCATTCAAGAAGTATTTGTACTTTTTTCTATACTCAAGAGTTTCTTTTTGAATACCCAAGACTTGGTTTAGGATCAGGTCTCTCAAAGCATGAATAAAAATCTCAGTGTAGATATCTTCAAGAAATGGTTCTCTGATTCTCGTTTTATCCCACTTTCGAGCTACTATCTTCTCTAACATCGGAATATACCTTATTGAAGATGAAACTTTTTCAGCACATGGTGGAGAAGTCGAAGAAGGAATAACCGGTGGTTCTGATACTTGTACAAGTTTTTCAATTGGCTCATTCGAAAAAGGAAAACCTGACTCACAATCATTCAGATCTGCTTCTCATTCAGATCTGCTTCAAAGTCAAACATGAGATTGTCTGATTCAGCGTCTTCTCCTTCCATCTTTACAAAGAACTCCTGATCTCCACCGTCAATATCAACTATATCATCAACAGATAAACCCAACAACTTCCTTATCTCTTCTGTGGAGTTCGTCGACTTTTCAACAATCGGCTCGATCTCTGGGTTTTCATATACAACCATCTCCATCCCAGGCACTCTTTCGCCAAAATGATTAGAATTTATCTCTTCGAAATCATCACTCCCTTCAGATTCAACTCCTGCAAAACCTGGAGACTCTGCCAGTTTTTCTCTTTTTATCTCCCCCTCATGGTGATCAGGATCATCCTAGTCATCATTTCTTCTTTTAAGGTTAGTGGCTTGATAT